ATATCGCTCAATAACTATCAAAAAGCCAATTCCCTTTCACTGATTTTACCCACCTGAACTAGAAATAAAGGAGACAAGTGAGACCGCCTCATCTGTTTCATATTTAGAGCTATGCATAAAGATTCAGAGTGACAAAAGACTCTCCACAAGAAAGAATGACAAGAGGGATGACTTCAACTTTCCAATTGTCAACTTTCCTTTCATGTCGGGTAATATTCCAGCAGCTCCAGCCTTTGGTGTTTACATTTCGCAACTTTTGAGATACAATCGATCATGCTCTTTCTACCAAGGTTTTAAAGAGCGTCATCCGACTCTTGCTCGGAAGTTGTTTGATCAAGGTTACAACATTCAAGGCCTCAGTAAAGCTTTCAAAAAGTTTTATGGTAGACATGTGGAGGACATTTCCAAAACTTACGCATCTGTGACAAAAAATGATGTCCCATGCCATTCCCTATTTTGACTTGTACCATATGTTCCATGTTTTTTCAGGTTAACAATTGAGTTTGTGACGGGTGCCACCGCGAACACCTGGTTTCATTACTAGTTGATAGTGATTCATAAACACATGCTCATGATATAGTCGGAATTGTACAATCGACTCTGCTTTATTCAGAGATTTCTATTGGATATGGGAAGGGTTTTATTGCTTTATTGTTTTGCACAGTCGAGTCAACGATTGTTAGTTTGTTTGTTGTTCAACGCCACAGTGATCAATATTCCAGTTAAATGACAGCGACCTGTAAATAGCCAGGTATGAACCACAGTCAGCAATTATTTATTTGTTATTATTTTTATAATACAGTTAAATGACGGCGACCTGTAAATAGCCGGATTTGAACCGAACACACCAGTTATAGATATCATGAGTAAAGTTCCTCGCCCTTAACTTAGTGACTGAACCTAACCACTAGATCCATTACCAGGCTAACTGAAAGCCTGAGTAGGTCTCGGGCACCGTACGTGTTGTGAGACTACCCCAACCCGGAATTCTCGGAGAAATCTCTAGGAAAATTCTGAAGATCCCGAAAGTGTATTTAACTACAAATGTGTTTGCAATTATTTGTAAAAACAGTAGCAGACCCTCCTTCATTATTTCTAAGTATACCACTTTGAAAACAAAATGTCAAACACTTTCTGAGGAAATTTTGAGGAATAAACGTTAAAGGGATACACTATATATTGCCTGATTAAATGCCGACCGAGCAAATTGAGGAGGATTTAATCAAATTCAAAAAGAGATTAGTAACGGGTAATCACACATGGTCTACCACTATGATCCCGAGTCAAAAGGTCAATGGAATAGCACAATTCCACTACTCTGGCACCAAAGAAATACAAGTTTTCAAGATCAGTGGAGAAAGTTATGGCCACTGTATTCCTGGATGCAAAGGATGTGATCCTTGTTGATTACTCAGAAAGTCAAAAGACGATTACTGGTGCCTACTATGCTGATTTACCTCAACGCCTGAGTGATTCTATCAAAGAAAAGCAGTAATGTTTGCTGACTGTAGGAGTTGTACTTCACCATGACAATTTTATTACGCTTTTTAAAAGCAAGAAATATAAATCTAGCTAAAGCATCAATTATGTATGGGGTTTTAGATGTACAGAGTGTTACAAATTTATCAAAAGTTACATTTGTGTAAAAATAGTAAGGTAGAACCTTACGTCTCAAACTGTCATAGTATGGATATTGTAAACAAAAATGATATTCAGATTCCACTTCAGGTCTTACATAAAAATGGACATAGTCTCTTAGCTCTAGGTATAGTGTACTTCCTTCCATTTTCAATTAGCAAAGTATGAACAGAACATCTAAATTTACTCAAAGCAATACGATAGGCACTTACTGGAATGCAATCTAGATAATTTTCAAATACATTATATTGCTTAATACAAGAATAAAAAGAAAGTTTTGAGTAAGTTCTTAAACTGCTAGACCATTGTTGGTTATCTATATCAATACATCTTGTTTTGAAGTTATCATTGAAACCAATATGATTTACTCCTTGACTATTCCAAACATGGCCAAAACCATATGAATAAAGAAGTTGTTTTACTTTTAATGCCCAACAATATATTCCTTTTTCTGCCAGATTGTATTGATATGAATAAGCATGGCTAAGGATTATATTAGTTTTTGAGAAACAAGTCGGAGCCAATATTTGACAATACGAACATGTTGATTGACTTTAAGTGAATAACGGCCAAGCTCACCACGAGCAACTGTATTGGGGACAAATCTCCCATATTGTAAAATATTCTTACAGACATCCTGAGACGGGTGAAAGCCCCATATCTCTGAGCAGTAGAGAACAGGTAGTATTTTGACATCATATATCTGTAAAAGTACATTATAAGGAAGTTTAAAAAATCCCTTGAGCCTCATTTTAAGCAAGTGTCTTCTGTGTAAAGTACCAACTACCAAATGATGACAGACAAGACAAATAATATATTGTATGAAAGGCCTCCGGCCTATATACAAACACATACAATGTATACATACTTTCAACATATGTGCATTCTAGGAGACATTTGTATTTACAAGTTCTTGACGAATATTGAGTGCTTGATGGAGAAATTGAGCTAGGCTGTAGATTACATCAGAAGATTGATTAGACATAAGTGATATAAGGGATGTGGTACATTGCTGTTTAAGGTATTTAGCGGGTATAAAACGTGTTCGGATATCTTGGTAAAACTCACAGATAAAAAGTACATGACATTAGTCCTCAACACCCATATCACATAATGGACACAAACACATAGATTTTAACGTATTTTTTCTTCTTCCGGGATTTACTCTAATATTACTCAGTCCCATACGAAAACGCGTGAATGTTGAACGTAGATTTAAATTACAAAGAACACTTCAATATTTTTCAGGCTCCAGTAAGGATTTGAATGATCTATACACATCATATCTGCTACTTGCATTTAAATTAGACATCCATGTTTGATACAAGGTATTTACAGTTCTTTCTTTTAACATATTTACAAACATACAGGTGTTACCAACTCCTTGATAAATCCAAGCATAGCCAAAGCTATTTGAGAACAAAAGTACCCGAATCTTTGATGCCCAAGTGTTGTAACCCAGATTATCATAGTTGTATAACATATTGTAAGCTTTCCTTGGCAGTCGCTGTTTGTGCATAGTAAGAATATTTTGCCAATATCTGATACAACGAATATATGAATTAATGTACAAAGGACATCTACCGCACTCTCCGTAAACAATATTATTAGGGGAGTAAACAGTATTTATACTTACTAACAACTTTAACTCTCGAACCCTTATATAACCATTTTTCGACTGAAGCTAATGGGCCACCTCTTTTAAAAACAACTATGTTTGTCTTTTCTAAGTTTACAGTTAACTTCCAATCATCAGTGTAATCAGTCAAAATGTTTAATTGGTTCTGAAGAATAACATCATCAGCAAACAATAATAAGAACAATTCTAAAATATCCGGACATAATTGGACCCCGTGTTTGCCACTATTCATTATTTCTATACACAATTCGTTAATAAAGAAAAAAAATAGAATGGGACTTAATACGCATCCTTGTTTCAAGCCAAGCGTACAATTAAAAAAGTCAGTGAAATCACCTTTACAGCGCACACACGCCCTGACATTAGAGTACATACTTTTAAGAATCAGGTACATTTTTCCCCGTAATCCAGCTCTTCTAAGGCACACCCACAGTTTATGACGATTCACAGAACCAAAAGCCTTCCGGAAATCAACAAAAGCTACATAGAGTTTTCTCCCACGTTTCATCAAATATTTTTCTATAATTGCATTTAATGTAAAAATATGATCTGTAGTCGAATAGTGTTTTCTAAACCCGGCCTGATATTCTGGAATTCTATCCCTCATATTGGCCCATAACGATAGTCTGTTGTTTAATATACTCGAAAATACTTTCGCCAAAATACTGTTTAATGTTTTACCTCTATAATTATCTGCATTGCTAGCATCTCCTTTCTTATGAATATATATAACAATGCCCTTCGACCACGAACTTGGAAATACGCCTGAACGAAAAATCATATTAAACAATTCTGTAAGATAGGGCAAAATTATCTCCCTTGATGATTGCAGCATTTCAGCAAGAATATTATCAAATCCCGGGGATTTACGTTTTTTAAGTGACTGAATTGCTGTCAGTATCTCATGACGTTGAATATCAGATTCAAGGATTTCCCGATCTATTTCAGAAAAGAAATCATCTTCATTTATAGGACCATATATGTCATCAAAAAGCGTATGATCAAATACGTCATTTGTTGAAAATACTTCTTTAAAATGAATTGCCCATTCAGCTTTTGAAATGCTACAAGCAGGGATGTTTCTCATATTAACGGATCGAACCTCTTTCCAAAATTTCTTAGCATTACCCATTGCATTACATAGAAAGATGTAAGATAAAAGATGAACACCTAAATATTTATAAGTAGGAACAGTTTCTATAATGTAGTACATAACAGGTATTACACTTAATTTTAACAGCATTTACTATATACGTGTTTAAGTTGGTTGGTTGGTTTGTTCTTTAACGCCGCACTCAGCAATATTCCAGCTATATGACGGCGGTCTGTAAATAATTGAATTTGGAACAGGCAATCCAGTGATTGATATCATGAGCATCGATCATGATATTGGGATCGATGACATGCATCAACCAAGTCAGCGAGCATGACTAAAAAGATCAGACAGAACGCAAGAAGCGATATATTGAGCTGTCTAGCTGTAGCTTTCCGCCTTTCAAATATAAAATGGAAATATGAATAGTCAAGTGATACACTGAACCGTAGGCCTTAATGACCTTAATAACACGACAGATACTGACGCATCATTAAAACTTTGCTGTTACCCCTTTTCAGTAAGATATTGATGACGGCAGTGCTAAAACTACTTCTTACGCATATCGATTATTTAATGCAGACTGAACAGCCTAACACAAAGGTAGTGCTATTGATTCAACATCATTGAGGAGTTTGCCGTCGATATTGTGTCTTCGTTAGCAACTTCTGTCAATAATGAATACCCCACCACGACAGTTGTCAGTTAATTCATGATGATTCAAGACGAACATGTGAGACTGGCGTTTTTCTTCTTAACACTGGTTTCCATTTGCAAGGCATCATGTCAACAAGAGGGACACCTGATATCCAACGCGCGAATTATTAGATCATCTTTCCATATACTTTCTACACCTGGCATAAACTCGTGTGTAGCGAACTGCCAAATGCATGTGATATGTAGATCGTTCAGCTACCACATCCTCAGCCATGTCTGCTATCTTAACTATGTGGACACCAACTCATCAAGTATAATAATGAGCAGTGAAGATGGCTATGTATCTAGTGACATCAGCACCTGGAGTAAGGTAAGAAAGACATATTGCATACCCTGACATGTTTTAAACATTTATAAAATCTAAAGCCATTTTCAAGCGACCTCTGTGAATTAAATTGAAACATAGTTGTAATTGTCTCACTAAATTATGCATTTTTTTACATGATTATTTAAAATTGAACCACAATTAAAAGAAAATTTGAACCACAAATTGAATCATTAAAAAGCTTAGACAGGCTTTTAATTTTATAACTAAATCCTGCCTTGAGGGGTCATCCTGCTCCTGCTAATGATCAAACAGGGTTGAACCCACACCGAGTTGAAACTGTCCCTCTCTGAAAAACATTGAGGCGAATGGGATCGCAATCCACATTCATGCATGTCATTTGAAGAACCATGCCTCCGTGTAGGTCGTTTGTCTACATAGATAACTCTACAAAAAGATACTGTATGTTGGTTGCCACAATTGCAATTGTTTACAAAAATCCAGATCGGAAATGTGCTAGAACATTAGGTAATGTTGACATCCTTAGTGTATGTAACTATCCCTCTGGTTCAAATATACTTTGAACCATTCATAATTTTGTAATTCGAACTCATTTTCGATTACCGAATACCACTCAGTGATTGATCCAGTGCAACTTAATAATATTATGACCTCCGAGCTGCTTTATCAGCATTATCATAAGGTTGTGAGGTAAAAGAGTAAATGTTCGTCATAGTCATTAGAACATTTATGTCGGTGGTTATTATTCATATGTGTTTAACAATAAGTGTAAATGTTTTAATAGGTGCACTTGCAAGTTAACACGTCCATTCCCATTTAATGCTACCCCACCTCCCTATGTTCATCAAGAAAGTTTTTTGTGAAACTTGCAGCTTTTTCATTGGACGAGAACTCGGCCACATGACTGCGAAACTGACGTTCATAAGTGCATGAACGACACAGTTTGACGTTCATACGTTTTTCACGAGACTGTATTCTTGAAATGACGTAAACACTGACGGACTACTTTAAATTCAAATTCCTGGTAAAACCCCATGGCATTTATTTTGGACCCTTCAATCTTGAAACGTCAGAGTTTGACTGCATGGTCGTTCACGAATAATTTCCTTACGACCCATCCGTGTAATAAAAAGAAAGAAATGCACATTAAATCTATCGTAGTATCGACTCGATCCATGTCTTGACTGACAAGTGACAGTAAATAAAGGAATCTATCTATAAATTTTTCTTAGTTTCTATTTTATGTCTGTAATCACCTTTCAATGATCAGCAAATGATGATCAATGACGACTTGCACTTTTAATCGCCACAGGTTCATGAACTTCGGAAATCTCTTCCGTCACGTTAATCATGTCGGCCATTTTGACGTCTCATATTTTATGTAAATGTATTACGACGTGCAGACCCCCTGAGGTAGTTCGTAAGAGACCTTTTGTAATGATGATATCATTTTGATATATTTGTCGAACCAAACTACACAAGTTGTTCCTGTAGACCAAGTTGAGCATACATAGAAGAGGAAGTATGCCCTTGAGCAATGAATACAGAAGGGCCCCAACAATACAGGAAATCCATGGCAATACCAGACTATAACAATAGACAATAGACAATAGACAATCTTTCCGAAACTCAGAAGAAAATTGATGATATCTTGAGCATATATACTGATCTGAAATATGTTGGAACGAGAGGTGGTTCAGCCTTCATCAAGTCCATGGTCATCTTCGATACTGCTGGTTGGGATATTTGATGGGTCAAAAAGTGTTTATATTGATTTTCTTTCTGTGAATGAACTATGTCGCGGACATAACTGTCCATTTCCGATGATAGATGGTGCTTTGGATAACTTTGGAAATGTTAAGTTATGCCCCAGCAACGTTCCATAGACTAATGGAAGTTCGGATAGGCTAACCATGTAAAATTTGTCGAAAGTATTTGAGGAGCACTTGGATAGACTTGTAGTATTGCGGAAACTCTTAAAAGCAGGACCAAATTTGAAGCATAAGTGAATTATTTAGGACATGTCATATCTCATGTGCCATGCGAGTACATTTATAGAGCGGACTGGAGTATACACTCAAAAGCTGAAAGAAGATGCTCGGTGAATAGACAAGACATATTGGCGGTGCATTACACAACACTTTGTGCATTATGGCAGGAGAAAACTTAAAAGAACTGACCATGGAAGAATAAAATGGCTTTACATTTTCAGAGAATTAGTTGCTCAGCATCAAAGCGTGTCCACTGTCCTTTACCAACATCTAGTTTTCAACTTTGACATTTCAAGCCTAATAAAGATTATCTGTTAGAATATGAGAGGATTATTGCACTTATCAATAGTCCAATCAGAAAACGTTTTACAAAATCAACATCCGGGTTCTGAAAATGTGGTCGCCGCTATGGTCACAGCCACAACTATCTCCTGTTGAATTTGCTTGAACGTATTCCAAAACATTAACCTAAGACAAGAAACCTGTCCAATTACTTGTATATATTTAAATGAAAACTTCATTGTCTTTTAATTTTCCCGACCGAATGGTCCGGTTTAGAATATGTCTTCAGCAGCCCATGCTTGTCGTAAGAGTCGACTAACGGGATCGGGTGGTCGGGCTCGCTGACTTCGTTGATGCATGTCATCGTATCCCAACTGCGTAGATCGATGTTTATGATGTCAGTCACTGGATTGTCTTTCCAGAGTCGATTAGTTACAGACCGCCGTCGTATAGCTGCAATATGGCTGAGCCTGGCGTTAAACAACTAACAAACAAACATAATATATAGGGTCCAACATCAACAACAGAAGAAAACAAAATTAGTTGTTCTTAGGAATAACTTGAACACCTTATCTCAGGCTCCGGGAAAGGTACTATGTACAGGAGCAATATCCCAGGAATCAAACATGAAATTTCAAAGAAATCTGACAGCTAGAAAATCATTGATAACTGGTCCAACAGTGATTTGTGATTATTTCGGTGATGGCAGTACCAGTGATGTGTCAATTTCATCAAAGTCTATTTTCCAGTCGGACATATGTGACAGTCCAACAGTATTTATCAACCCTGATATATCAATATTTGATACAGGAGACTCACCTTTGACATCAACTAGAGACGACCTGTCCAAGACAGTCATCCTCCAACCCAACTGAATATAAACTTTGACATCTCATGGTTAAATATGCATCTACACAGAGGATTCATCACGTGTGTTTTTTTTGATGACTGAGAAATATCAGCCGAGTCTTAGTTCGTTGTATTTGCGGAGCATTGTTTGGGCAAATAGAGATTCACGGGATGAATTCTATTGGTCATCTTCACATTATATTAGATCGATAAAAATATCATTGGAACCAAAATTTTCGAAATTCTACGTAAATATGTTTTCTATTGCCGGGTGAAGCAACATATAGCACCTGTTAACAAATGAGCGCATATTCATTTGCTGAACAAAATCCTCAAATCTTATTTTAAGATATTTGAATCTTTAATAACGGCAACAACAACGATTCTGTGCCATTTGATTCTTTCTCCGGTATAATTTCAATAACATTTACAAGTCGAATAGGTCCGCGCTCGCACTCGAGGAATGTCCCGCTGGAGGAGAGAGATCACAGTATGCTTTAGTTGTCACTCACTTTCGGCGACAATTCCGGCGTCATTTGACTGAAACTGGTTGTGAGATGTAACAAGATTAACCGTTATGTTGACCAGTAACGGTGCCAACAACCATAGTCTTGACACTTCCAGAAACATGTATGATCTGCTGACTGTGTTGTCTACTGGCGTTTTTGACATTACGCAAGGGGCTGCTCTGCATATCAGGAGCTTCGTCAAATTGCTGGATATGGAGCATTTCCTGAAATTACGTTGGATGTTTGCTTTGCTGGTCAGTAATAATATGGCAGTAATTCTTCATAGAATTGGTGTTCATGTGATCAGTTATCTGCATTATTTGATTTGGTGGAACGTTATTGTCATTCAACTTTTGCGCAAGGTTTTTATGCGCAGAGAGATTTGGGAGTCGTTTCAATGTTTGGAGACAGGCGGGATCACACATTTTTTTCATGAGAGAGGAAAGTTATCTGATGAACTTTCATTGTCAGCTTTCGTTATCTAAATGATAGAAATATTATTAGGTACACGACAACAACACATTTATGAACTCAAAACTCGGCGGGATACGAACCTTCAACGTCTTGATTTGTAGTCCTTAATATTGTACCAAGTTAATTGTAAGTAAATTCTAAACATAGATTTTGGAAATAATACTAGTATATAAAGATATGCACTGTCGTATCATATTTAAACTCTGAACATGATTCAACGTGTTTACATTTCTAAACATGTATAAATTCTGAACATGTATAGTAGTTAAACATGTAAAAATTCTAAACATGTTTAGTTTATGGGGATGTTGTGTTTAGTTGGTGTTTAGCCTGTGAGACGATAACTTATTTCAAGTGTTTAGACCCTAAACGTTTCCAGATTAAGAAAGTTGTTAGTAATCGAGTCTTTGCCAGGCACACTGATTTATCAGCACAATGATAAACATGTACAATCTGCCTGGTCGATTATGTACAGGGACCATCATATTGCCAAGTGTGGCGACAAAAACAAGCCAGCTGTCTGAAGCCCTTGTAACAGACACATGTTTATTATCTAACGATGCTACTACTGTATAACTCCCGACACGTGAACTGTACAAGGAAACAGTGCATATTTTGTTATTTCGCGGTAAAAAAGACAATGGGTCATATATACTGAACCGCAAAAGAAACGTCACCATAGATAAATATCTGAGAAACCTTATTTGTCCAAACACTGTAAACATACTTTGATACATATTTAAAAGATGAATCTTGGCAAAACTGTTCATCAAGGTTACAATTAAAGTGTCAAATGTTCTTAAAGTGAACACAACACTAGTCTCTAAGAAAATGGCATCGCAAGTCAGTATCTCGTGTGTCCCTCATGTGCATTGATGACTGCCGTGCAACGTCGATACATGAATGGATGAGGCGGTTG